ACTTGTGTGTTCTATGAACGGTCGTCAAAATGGAAGTATCCTTACCTTATTATAATGATAAAGTTTGAAAACATTTATGTTGTGATGGTATCGCCTATGTTTGTTGTGATGGGATGTGTACACAGAAATTTGTAAATATATTCTAATTTTGTCTGCATCCGTATGTATGTTTCTGCCATGTCGTGTTAATCCGATACCGTTCATTCAGTAAAAAAAAATAATTCGTGCGGTAAAAGAACCTGATATGATTCGATAATGCTCCGTTGCATTAGTCTGATATGGTTCGATAATCCGTTGCATTTGTCTAATGGGGTTCGATAATCCGTTGTATTCGTCTGATATGGTTCGATAATCCGTTGCATTTGTCTGAAGGGTTTGAAAATCCGTTGCTTTCGTCTGATATGGTTCGATAATCCGTTGCATTTGTCTGAAGGGTTTGAAAATCCGTTGCTTTCGTCTGATATGGTTCGATAAGCCATTGCATTCGTCTGATATGGTTCGATAATCCGTTGCATTCGTCTGATATGGTTCGATAATCCGTTGCATTCGTCTGATATGGTTCGATAATCCATTGCATTTGTTTGAAGGTGTGCGATAATCCATTGCATTTGTTTGAAGGGGTTCGATAATCCGTTGCGTTCGTCTGATATAGTTTGATAACCCATTGCATTTGTTGTCTTTTATTCAATCTTCGAGATTGCAGGTTGTAAACCCTGCAGACGGACTGATCTATTCGTTATATGTCGTATTCGCCTGATTTCATTATATTTGCACACTGTTTCGCTGTTTCGTTACCTAAGTTTTATTGATAAAAATGATTTCATATGCAATAATGATATCGATGTCTTATTTCAGGAATACCATCCGGATTTTATAGTTACGACAGCAATTGAAAAATCGACTGACGGTAATCTAACCAAATTATTGTACCACTTCAGTCGAAATGGCACCTACTACTCTCAGGAAGAAATAACGGTATGTTTTCTGTGTACTTTTTACATGTAACAGGGTTAGTAAATCAATGTCAACTTTCTATTATCTTATCCGAATACCTATGTATAGAATCTTACATTGTCCATTTGTCCATTTGATGTGTTATTTATTAATGTTTAATTCTACCGAGCCTTAGCTAAAGGTGTGTGATTAAGAACTTCCGGTCAAAATTCCGATGTTTACCGATGTTTCCGACCTCGGCAATCTTCGGCAAAATAAGTAGGCCTAGATATGAGTAAAGAAAGGATCAGTGAACTAGAGCTAAACAATGTGACGAAATATTACCGCAAACGAACTTTTCTACATCAGTTTTCACTTCTAAGTCATTTTGCTTCAATATCTATCTCTCTATTGTACAATCACATTACCATTTTTGAGTCTGTGACGTTTCAGTTGTAGTACACACGTGTCATACTCAAAATGTTATTTTGGTATATTCACTGAATAAGTAGACTATATGTGAAAGATAAAACTACACTCGGATCTCGTCATCTCGAAATTGTGTTATCCGAGCATTCGATTTAAGTGAGTTCCAATTTATGTATTGAAATGTGGCCGGGACCGACGAAATACTTCGAATTAAACGATGTTTCGAGTTATATGAATTCGAGATAATGAGGTTCGACTGGATTAACTCCCACTTCACCTCCGTGTTTCCCAACATTGACGTAATTCCATCAGGATTATTTGTAAATTGAAATAACACTAAAGGATAGTGCAGTTCCACTCCTTCAGGCATTTCATTATAAAATCAATATTTCTGTCTCGATTTTTTCATTGCCTTATACAGTGGGAATCCGGCAGCAAGGTGTATTTGTTTGATCTTCCGCTAGTTATCTCCCATTTTTACTTCACGGCTTCTACTGCAATTTGCCATGTAAATACGGTGTCGCTGCCATGTAAGTATGAACCGCTAAAATAACTCACGTACTTTCTTTCAATGTGGTGACATTCTTTTTATTATTGTTAAGAAATTCTTTCTTAAATTTTTCCGGGCTCCATATTTACGAAGGTATTCTACAGTTGTACTAACGACTACATATATATCTATGTGTTGTTACTTCGGGGTAATGTGTCTCCGTGTCAATAAGGTTCTTTATTATGAATAATGGAAACGTTATGAGGATATAGTTTGATCACGTTTTTTAAATGGCGTTCAAATACTCATGTTCATGTTACAGTCAAAAATTATGTCAAGATAGAAAAAGATGACAACAATGTGATGCTGAGGACGTTGCCATATACCTTGGACCAGGATTTAGACACGTGCATGGACTTGCCCGTGCCGGTGGATTCTCCTTCCATGCTATGGCTGAGGTTCATCCGACTTGGTCTCTTCGGTGTGACGTCAAAGAAATTTGCAGTTCATCTTACAGGGGAAGGTATTGAATGCACACAGGATGGACAGAAGAGTCTCCGTGTAAGTTTTTAGTGTGTCTTTTATAAAATGCCGTTTTTTTTTAAAAAAATATTTCCTTAATAAAATACTACAGAATACCTGGATATTTTTCGCCCCATGTTATTTTTGTCCTTGTACCTCTATACACAAATTTACCATGTTTCCATTAAACCCTTTAAGGTTATTTAAAAAGTTATGTAAATGTAACAAATATTAAAAAAATAAATAAAATCAACAGAAACAAAAACAAAACAAACAAAAGCAAGAAAATACCTACATGTCAATATTATCGTCATCTAAACTCAAATTGAATAAAACTAGGACAAATATGTTCAAAAGAAAGATTCATACAGTGGACTCCTGAAACAGTACAAGGATAATATGTGTTCCGGAAGAGTAAGTGTTTTCTACTTCATCGAAGTCATCCGCCATATAAACGTTGGTAAATCGAAGTAAGTAATGCCATAACTCAAATGAGAACAAGGTATACAACAATAGAATCAACAGCCAAATTCGCACTCCCTATTCATGGAAGAAAAGATCGAAAATTCATCGGCGGCGAAAATTTCCCGGTATACAGTATTTAAAAAAAAATACCATCTTCTCATTGTTGGGACGTTATACAACGTGTATTATTTTTGCGCTGAAGAACTTTCATAATTTTCACAAGATGACATATATATCACGCCTCTGTTTTTTTAGGTTGGAACTTCCGGTCCTGCTACCGATGGTGACTGTAGCATCAAATCGGATATTGTGTTCTGTAAGTTGTTATCAAAGAACTCTATTTCTGGTTTGACTCGGTGTGACCTGCAATGTGAATGTGATACGCTACAAAAGTGTTCTGATGTCCACATTGTGATGCAGAGTCCCACACATGATGTCTGGAGGCTGTGTGAGATTACCATGAACAATGTTGTGTAGGAGAACCGTCGAGGTGGTTCTGGTGTATATAAATAGGGATTGAACTCCAGGTATGGTCAGATATGAGACATTGGATATTCAATGGAGCGCGTTCGATAACGCTAAGGTCAAATCTGGAGATTTATTTTTTTCTTGAAATAAATGTGACAGTTTAGCATACAAGGTACATGTATTTGTTTTGTTTGTGTTTAGTTTTCATTTCATATAGTGCAGTAACAAATTACCAAGTTTAGTCAAAAATAAATCAAACACGTGAGTGAGATGCAAATTAACCAATAATAGCGCCTTGTACCATTCTACTGGAACGACACAAGACAGTAGGTGGAGAGTAAAAAATCAAAATCGAACGAAAGTTATTTCAAAATGAAAATGGAGCGAAAGCAACAACCCCATAATTCAATAGATTTAAGTAAAAATTTTGGCTTAAAGACGGTAAACTTCTCTTCCTTTTCGAGAGCAGACATTGACGGTATCGAACACTATACAGTGTAGTTGGTGTTAAGTTTCTTAATCTGTAAAATACATCCTGTGACGTAGTCTATGTTTGTTGATTTACAAATCAATGGCTACATATATCATCAATGTTGTACTTAAGTATATCAGATAGATTTGCGGGTTTTAGTATGTTTATTCGCAAGATGCTGCTTTGGCGGAGTATGTGAGTTGTGTTTTGGCATTCGAGCTGTATTTGTACAGGAACCACTCGGTACCAGAGTGGGTTATGACACAGACTGGTCACTGGTTTTTGTGTCATGGAACTCCCAGCTAATGAAGGGAGATAATTTGAGAGGTTAATTCGTAGTGGAATGACTGAACCAGCCAATTTGTGAGAACTCATATTCCGCCATGTTTTCTTGTATATTAGCACACATTCCCATACAACAATACAGTCATGGTTTAAAAAAGGTGTAGAGAACAGTACGCAATTTTCTTTGGCTGAAATAGGAAAACTTTGAGGTGTACTTGATATCGTTTTTATGCTGATAAAATATTCAACTTATTTCGACCTCCATTGTCCTTCTCACTTGTAGTCTACAATATCTGCAAACGAACGTGACAGTCGAACCCGGGTTTTAAGTTATGATAAATCCCTTAGCTACACCCAAATAAAAAATAAATAAAATACCAAAATGTCAACAGAATCTTGATTCGAACTCAATTCGATTAAACTACATGTAGACATAAAAAAGAAACACAAAGACTCCTAAAAATGTACACGGAGAATATGACCATATGTCCCGAAAGGATATGCGTCTTCTGCTTCATCGACGACACTCGCTATATGATCTTGGTAAATCCTTGTAATGTCACGTCTCTACCATTGGATTGAGGAGAAATTCCGCTTACCAAGTTTGTTAGGCGACGTGCGGGCCCTCTTTTCTTTTCTTATTTATCAAATAAGTTTAGCATATCCTATGAGTAACTAGTTTTGAGTAAAAGTTAGTCCTAAATTAACCTAATATTGGTCATTTCGAAAATATCTTAATGCCACAATAAGAAAAACGAAATGAAAAAAAACGCCGGCGTGTATGTAGTCACAACTTACTGCCATGAAATTTTTCATCATCTTAGTTCATCGGGGACAAAACAAGAGATTGTTTCCGAATGGATTTCATTTGGCGCATGCGCAAAGCTGTTTCGATGACTGCATCTTCACCAAAGTTGTCACCTTCATGATGGAAGCATGCTATGCGAAATCTTTGCCTTAATAAGTTTGATACTCGTCGCATTTGTACCAACCATCGGTAAGATCGATTAATTTTGCATGTTTATCGCTAGTTAACAATTTCAGGTTCACACAAACACAAGTTATCGAAACCGAACACATTACCACGGACTTAATGTGTACAACATTTGTAACTTTAGATAAACATTAGCACAATTCACATCCACCTCTTATTTTGTGACCTTAGTATCTATGTCAAACTCTAACTTTGAGGAAGGCCAAGTTGATAAATAATCTTACGGCCTAATCGATATTTGCAAAGAATCTGTATTTTCGCGGCAGTGAAACTATCAGTCGTAATGTTGTCACACAGCTAAATAGAGATTTGGTCAAGAGTGGGTACACTTTTACAACAAGCCCTAGGTTTTTAATGTATGAAACATTTTTTGGTCTTATATTCCAGGTCTTCACATTGTAATACTATAGTTTGAAGTATTGGTTATGAATATTTTAAAATGGATAATTGTAGACACTACAAATATATCTGAATGTATCGCAAAAATCATTCATTGTCTTTACGAACAGCAACATATTCTGCCACAACTAGGACTCTGATATAGCAACCTCTCTGTCTCTACACAACCACTTGTCTTAATGGAGATTCCCACCACTACCCACAAGCCGAGATTAGTAAACTTCTGGTGTACTTTCAATTTCGACACTTGAATTTTGAAATCAGTTTTCAATCTTTAATTATAAAGAGGAAATAGATGGCTTGTCTTTGTGCTTTCAGTCGGTGGTCTGCAGTGTTTTCAGTGTAGTACAGTAAAGGACAAGAATTGTGATGATCCATTCCATAACTATGACTTCTCCTCCATTGATTGTCCAACTGTGTGTGTCAAGATTAGGTTTGAAGGGACAGGTACAACACTCAGATAAAAAAAGATTTGTTAACATTTCCCCCATGTTGTCTCTATGATCAATTCTAATGAATGATTGGTTACCTGATCATTTCCAGTTAACTGATTATGATATTTCAAAATCTATTTTGGCTGATCTAGTAACAGGGATATATGTTTAAAGTTTAAAAGAAAAGTTTCTGTTAAAATATTATTTTACATTTTAAATTCCTGCTTATTGTCAAAATGAAAAAAGAAACCAGTTCAAAGTAAATGAATACAATACTTTAAATAGTGATTCTTGAACTCAATAAAAAACCTTATACCAAATAAACATGTGGTCATTCAAAAAAATCAGCAAGCAAAAAAACATATCAATTAATTTGATTGTTCTAGCATGTAAATTTATACTCGGAGTGTACTTTTTTATTAGATACTATATGCATAGATTATGAACAGAAACATCTACTGAGTAATTCTTTGATATTGCTCTATTTCTTTTTTAAATTTAAAGTTGAACAAGGCTGTTTTAACAACCAGTCTCCTCTACCAGTGAGTGGGCCAAGTGGGTCAGGATGTGTCTCCCAGTATATACCAATGAAAGGCATGAAAACCATTTGTAGGTCAGTATAGAGGTAATGGCATTGTGTCATTAAACATACCGGGTACTGGAAATCAGGGTTATTCCAGTAAAACATGCACCAGGGCTGTTTTGTTTAGAGGCAACCCCCCACCCTAAAATCTGATTAATAATTTTAATAATAGGCAGGAAACAGAATAATGAGAGGAAGTGATTTATTCTGGGGTCCAGGCCCCTGTTGCTCAAAGCTTGAATTGTTAGTGAAAACTGTTATCATTGAATTCTAAACAAAATTGAAGCTCAAAAATCATCAATATTTAAGCTGGTATTTGGAAATGACATATTTTCAGAACATAACATGTTGGTCTTGGATATTGTAATGTCACAAGAAAAAAATTCTTTAGTTTTACATCCAGATAAAAATACATGGTTTGTACTGGTATGTTTTATTGTATCCGACTTGCATGATTGTATTTATTTGCATAAATCCTATGACCTAAGATAACTCCTCTAAAATTATTTTATTTCTCTTCACAGCACCAAAATTTGGAGTTAAATCACTAAGGAAAACAAAAGCTTTTTGAAAAATATTTTTAAAGAGCCTTAACTACTCTTTTGAAAAAATAATATTAATTTTAATTGAATGTTTTTATAGCAGTTTTGTCTCCTAGATGCAGTACACCACGATGTAATGGTGGAATGGGAAGAAAAAGTCTGGTAGATTTAAACGTTCTCCTCACTGGGCCCCTCATGGTCTTCCTCTTGGTGAAATAAATGTACCAGAATAACATATATATTACCTGATTCCAACCTGCAAAGTATACATGACTTCCGTTAGATTTTTCAAGCCATGCTGGTCAGGTGTTCCAGTGCATAAGTGCACATGACCTACAAAACCCGTGTTGGCCTCCACAAATATACTGTACATGACTTGTCAATTTGTGCAAGTATATATGGCCTATGTTGACCTGCATAAGACTCCAACTTTACCCTTTAATTGTTAAAGCTGTACAAGAATATGTTGGGCCTGCATTGACCTTGTATCAGTCTATCTGACCTATGTTGACCTACACAGTAACACTGGACTTGTGTTGAACCTGCATAATTACACAGTGCCTATGCGTGTTGACTTGTGAGAGTAAACCAGATATGTATTCAACCTGCACAAGCCTACTTGACCTGTGTTCAACCTGCACAAGCCTACTGGACCTGTGTTCAACCTGCACTAGCCTACTGGACCCGTGTTCAACCTGCACAAGCCTACTGGATCTGTGTTCAACCTGCACAAGCTTACTGGACCTGTGTTCAACCTGCAATACCCTACTGGACCTGTGTTCAACCTGTACAAGCTTACTGGACTGGTGTTCAGCCTGCACAAGCCTACTGGACCTGTGTTCAACCTGCACAAGTATAAAAGGCCATTGTTCATCATGCATGCAAGATAACTGAACCTGATTTAACCTGCACAAAAGCACCGGATTCTGTCAAACCTCCAAAAGTATACTGGATTTCTGATGACTTGTGCTAGTACTCTGCTGCACAGTATGTACAAAACCTTTGTTCAACCTGAAAGTACAATTCTGCAAAATCCTGAAAAAGGACACTGGATTTTTGGAGACGGGAATGGCTAACCTGCCTAACATGTGTTGCAAAATGTATACTTGACCACTGATGACCTGTATAAGCATATCAAATCTGTGCTGACCTTTCTTGTGCTGTGAGCAAAGGGACAAAGAAAGGCTAACCACCTCCAAGCTGTTTTTAAACTTTGCACAATATTGACAGTTTTTCTGAAATATTAAGGAAGCAAAAAATATTTTTTGCTACATTTTTCCATTCATTGATAACATTTCTGTTTAATACTTATCAGAGAAAAGTAAAGAATATAATTGATATGTTTATGTTTATTTTGTTCTTTAACGGAATACAAAAATATAAAATTGTAACAAAATAACAGCTGTCAGGAAAATCCGGAAAACTGTTGTGAGGATTGCTGTGTTTCCCTAGAACAGGCACAGCCAGGACAGGAATGGAGAGTCTCGTGGATAAACAGGTCACAGTCCAAACAAAACATCTGCTGACATCTCCCACACTGGTACACCTGTGATATAGGTAAAACACAGGTAAAGCATATAGATAATACACATCGCAAATATACAACACATAGCTTATATCAGTCTGTAAAACAGATGGTTAACATGTAAACATAATCTAAATTAGAAATGAGAAAACACTCAAGTTTATTATACTTACCTCTCATTGAATTCCTAAAATATTTTCAAAACTACTTACGTTTGGGTCTTGAACAGCAATTTGGCATGCGTAACAGGACCTAAATACAAAATCAGATATCACAATGAAATCACCTATCCCTTTAGAATTGTTAACTGAATTCTGTACATGAAGAACACTAAATCGTTTAAGATAAACAGTAATTTTAAGATTTGAAACTTGTTTTCTAAAATCGGAAAAATCCATTATGATACCGACTGTACAGTACCTGTATAAACTTTTCATATAAATATTTAGATGTGAAATCCAGGAGATGGTGGGTCGGGATGGTAAGTTTGGAGTTTTATTATATTAAATGGTGTATGCTCCCTCTTTACATTCATTTTTCATAATTATATGAAAGATATGAAATACATACACAGGTGAATCTGTGAGAATACTGGACACTGGTGTCTCCAGAAAAGTGTCCAGCGGAAACAGATGGTGGTATGACCGTGCTAGATGTGGAGCTGATACTAATGTTAAACCTTCAATACAACGACAAAAATTAACAGATTAATTATGATCATCACTAGAAAATACACTATGAACTACTCATTACAAATGTATATAATCTGTTATAAAAAAGTGTACACTATCTATTAGGTCTTTTTTCATCTTTTGCAGGGTTTTCCATAAGAGTTGGTTGCCGGCCAATTTGACCGGCTACTTTGATCATTTAGCCGCCTACACCAATCCAGTTCCGTAATAATAACGACTACACGTACATGGCAGGCCAGCCTCCTACTTTCACTACACAGCCTACTACTAACAAAATTATGAAAAACCCTGTTTTGATTGACAACTTGGTATTTGTGAAAATATCCCTTCAGCACTTTCTGATAAATATCTATTGAACGTGGGTCAAATTGCAAAAATTGTTACTATGAATGCAATCTGGGTGCCAGTGTCATTCTAATTATCTGTTACCCATATTGCATTCATATAAACAAGAAGTACAATCTGACCGATGTACAATGCTTTACTGTTAATGGGCCCAGACTGACCTAGACCTTTAACTTCTAACACTGTAAACATTACATAGAGTGTTCATTCCTGCATCAAGAGAAACAAGAGCATCAGAGAAGGTACAGAGAGTTCAACAGCTATAATTCCACGATAACAAGTTGTTGGGAAGTGAATGCTGCATACTTACCGCATGATTTACACTCGATAGGCAGCTCACAATATTTACTCTTGCACTGGGGACAGAAATAGCCACTGCTGCTGAAGCCTTGATTCACCTTGCTGTCCAAGTGACTGAAACAGATGTCAATCACTTAAGATAACAAGTAAATTAATACATAAATAGCATTGTGTAAAGTGGCCTGATGATGACCTATATGTAAGGCAGATATATGTTGGCCACCAATGATCTGCAAGTGAAAGGAAAACCTGGCTTAAAAGTCGTCTTTCTTCTTCATTTTATTCTACACCTACAACAGTAATTCAGTTGATAAATCCTTGTAATTAGAACTTCTGCTGATTTTACTGTTAACAAACTGATTAAGTAACAAGCAAGCATTTGACGGTTTTTTTTATACATACCACATACACATAGAAGCCTTCTCGCCTTTGTTCTTGTCTCCACTCAAATTGTGGTGAGGAAACCCTGTAATAAAACCATCATGAGAGTGACACCATAATTGATATTAATAGTATTGAGTAAAGCAAAACTTCAAAAAAATATAAATGATCCAATTGCCCACTAACGTGGAGCAAAGGAACAAAAAAATTAATCAACCAGAATATAAAAGCAATTTTCTAAAACCCGCACAGAGACCCCTTCAAAAAGAGTGATAAGTACCATCAGTTTTATTAGAATTTGAAATTATGGACAACATGTATAAAAGAAAGAACAGAAATCACAACATAATAACATAATATGGAAAAGTAAGAGTAGTCCTGTGTGACTTGAGATGAGTAAGTGTAGTCCTGAGTGACTTGAGATGAGTTAGTGTAGTCCTGAGTGACTTGAGATGAGTAAGTGTAGTCCTGAGTGACTTGAGATGAGTTAGTGTAGTCCTGAGTGACTTGAGATGAGTAAGTGTAGTCCTGAGTGACTTGAGATGAGTTAGTGTAGTAATGAAGGACTTGAAATGAGTTAGTGTAGTCCTGAGTGACTTGAGATGAGTAAGTGTAGTCCTGAGTGACTTGAGATGAGTTAGTGTAGTAATGAAGGACTTGAGATGAGTTCGTGTAGTAATGAAGGACTTGAGATGAGTTAGTGTAGTCCTAAGTGACTTGAGATGTTAGTGGTTTTTTGAGTGACTTCAGATGGGTGAGTGAATTCCTGAGTGATTGGAGATGAGTTAGTGTAGTCCTGAGTGACTTAAACTCCGTCGAGTTATTGTAGACCTGAGCAGCACCAAAGTGACAATGACTAAAGTGATTTAGTGAACATTTGATAAAAAAGGCAGTGACTGATGCTTATTGTAAGACATTTAACTGTACAGGTGTTTTCAAAGGTCACTATTCAGGCACAGACACTGAATAGCTATAATTTTTTTCTGATATCATGTGCTTGACTAATCCCACAGGTAAGTAATATGTGACTTTCAATATAGTGAATTAATTTCACCACTCACAAATTTCACCCTTTGGTGCTTAGCCTGATCATATTTTCACTATTGAAAAACAAGACTAAAACTTCATACTGTAACGCTTTTAAATTACAATTCAGCAGTTATTTGCTATCTAATCTACCATGAAACTGGTAAAATATACATTGTATAATTACCAAAATATACATAATGATCTTTAACAAATATTATTTCAACTTACAAAAACTTATCAAATAGACCATTATACATACCCATCTTTATCAAGGAAGATTCTGTTGTACTCTGTAAAAATGAAGTATTGATTTTTGTTAAAGACTATTCCAATAAACATCTATCACATCCCATGACTTGATGTTACGTTAAAACCTGTTCCAGTAAAACACCTATCACACCCCATGACTCTAGGTCAAGTTAAAGCCTATTCCAATAAAATATCTATCACACCCTATGACTCCAGGTAAGGTTTTGTTAAAGGCTATCCCAGTAAAACACCTATCACACATCGTGACTTATGGTCATGTTAGAGCCTATTCCAATAAAACATCTATCAAACCCCATGACTTCAGGTTTTGTTAAAGCCTATTCCTGAAATTACTAGTTAACATTTGTGATATATACTCAGTGCCATATATATCATTTACTTTGCAAATACATTTCATCTGAAGATATTGATCATGTAGAGCAGAGGGAAAAAATGACATTTTTCTCACTTAAATCAGGATTGTTACCTAAGAACATTTAATTTTGTAATATTTTGAGTCCCTATAAACTTACTGTGGCTGGAGGAGGTGTTACATGAGATATGAGCAGATCTTTGAAGTGACCTTCATCCAGTATCACAAAGTATTTACCTGGAAAGTATCAGGAAATTGGTAAATCAAATTTGTAATCAATTCAGTATATCTATACATAATCTTTTTCTAATTTATTGTGTTCCAAAGCCTCTTCAAAATTGTTAATTTTTTTGCCTGACATATGATGTCTCTAAACTTGTAAAACTTTTGATTTTGTTGTTTTCAAACAATGGAAGTTTACATTAAATTTTGCGATTCAGTTTAAGGAAATTGCTTTAGAAAATTTGAGGAAACTAATTAAGTCATCATTTACCATTGGTATCCTGACAAATTCTCTTACATACACGGACCTCAGCAGCCAGGCCAATAATTGAACATCTCACATTGTTGTCTTTCATTGTCTGTAAAAAGAAGAAATAATTGTTTGTATCTAACCAATTTACACTCAGAGAAACAGTAAGAAATGTATTGTTTGTAATAGATTTAGCCTGTCACACATTATGACAAGATAGTTACTGTTTCTATTTTGTCTCCAACAACTGTATCGCCCAGGTCACACAACATGAGAAGACAGCCACTATAACAGTTTCTGTGTTCTCGGTTAACCTGTCTCTAAAGGCCACACAATGGAGCAGATGAAAGTGGCCTTTATACACAGGTTGTCTTCATATAGAGGTTGAATTACTACTAATTGTATTACATGGGGAACTGAAAGTGGCGTTAACCTACAGGTGATCTTTGTAAGAAGATGGCCTTAATAACAGGTTTGACTATCTATTAGGTTACACAGTGTGACAAGATAACTGCTGACTGTAGCTCTGATATATTTCACAAGTCACACAATGTGACAAGATAACTGCTGACTATAACTCTGATACACTTTGTATTTCTCACAAGTCACACAATGTGACAAGATGAAAACTATACCTGTATTGTCTCTGATATATCGGTCTCCTGGGTCACACAATGTGACAAGATGGTTACTATACCTGTATTGTCTCTGATATATCTCCTGGGTCACAGGATGTAAGACTTCCTAGGACAATTAACACTTCACGGCTTGCATGACTTGGCATATGCCTGAAAAAGAAATAATTGTGCTAAAATAAAAACAATTCAACATCAGTATCAATTTTTAAATATTACAAATGAATTTATTCAACAACACACAAGGTGACAATAAATATATACCATTGGCATATGAAGGAGATGGAAAAGACAGGATCTAAAAATGATTTTTTATAGACAATTGAATATGAAGGTCTTTGTGGAAAGAATGACAAAAGATTGTAAATTAGTGAATTTTTGCCATGCTTTACAGTTGATAACAAGCTTTTTTACAAATAAATCATTCATTGGTTTTAAAAAAAATCATAAATTTGTGTGTTAGATCAGGGAGAATCATAAACATGCATGTTTATCAAAAGGGTACACCTAGAAATGAAGAATCAAAACTGGCTAGAATGACTGATCTTAAAACTGATTGGCTGAGACAAAAAAAACACCTGAGTACCAGGTTTGTGAAACTAGGTACCCAGTTTACTAGATTGGCAGGAAAAATAAATATGACTATCTGACTGGATTGTGTAAAAAGAATTGAGTGTCTGGTTGTAGGCTAAAACTGCAAAAAGGAGTTTTTATGATAAATTGCATTCATTTATAAAAATACAATTTGCATTTAGCAAGAATCACAAACCTTAGGGTTTGATTGGCTAGATCTAGAGAGTTTTGAAGCGACGGCTCTCCTTGGCATGTTTTCTTGACAAGAGACTGGAGTGTGGTGATATGACGACGAGGGTTTCCTGTAAAAAATAAACAAATAATCCTACTGAAAGACAAAAGGAAAAAATTCTAAGAACTTTGATAATTGACAAAGATTTAATTCTATTGTATAATTTTTATCATCATATCTTTAACATTTTATTTTGCTGACCATAATATTTCCTCATCTAGCTTAAACATCTAAGTAATTTTTTAATTCTCCTACGTATAATTATCATGGGTTTCAAATTTAAGCTTTATTATTGGGTATAGTTCTGCATTGTTTTGGAATTGTACACCTGTTCAAAAAACTGCATTTTCTCCTACTAAATATATTTATGCAACACAGATATCAATTATTTATGTGAAATGCAATACTTGAAATAATTTTAAATGGGGTGGGCAGGTGGTGCAGTGGTAATGCACTCGCCTTTCACCTTGTCATCTAGGGTTTGATTCCCGGAACACATATGAAAAGGTATGGGTCATCTGCCCGACCATGTGGGTTTTCCCCCTGTTACTCCAGTTTCCTCCCACAGTAAGACCCCTTGTGTTCTTCAATCCAACAAGAGTGATTAATGTAAGTTGGTAAAACTTGTTTTAACATTGTTGTAAAATAACAAAGTTCAATTGAAAATAATTTCATATCAACTATTTATCAAACCATAATGGTGTGACAAGTTTTGACTGATGGATAAGGCATAGGGAGATGAACCCTGTTGCATCAGCAGAAGGGGAGGTAAGTAGTCTGTACTGATACTGGTGAAATAGAGCAAGGCATCTCCCAAACAATGTGAAAACACAAATATAATTATTCTTTATCAAGGTTTAAAGACCTAAACGTATGTCAAACAATTCATTATATTCATTTACTCAAATCTACTCAAGTGCAGGTTGACAGTGTCTGGTTAAAATTTACATGTTCAGAAACCGGATTCGAAAAACTGACCTCCAAGTTCCGCAACCTTTTCTGCCCTCTTATTGCGTGTTGTTATGATACCCAGCTGACTGATAGGGTTTTGGTCAAAATATTCCTCTACAAAATGTTCAAGTAGCTGGAACAGAAACAAAAGATATCTAAATAGGAGGTTTACAGTGGTAAAACATCTACCTATCACTTATCAATGTGGGACAAACAGTATCATCAAATCGGTAAGAGACAGAAATGATGGAACAATACTGATTTGTAATGATTTCATTTTGATAAAATTTTTACCATACGGTTGAACTTCATTATTTTAAAATCAGTGGGACTGTTGGAAAAACTTTGACTTATCTGAGTATTAAATTTTAGTGAGATCGAATGTTAAATGAAAAGTTTGACCAGGATAGACAAAATTCTTTAAATTAAATGAGGTCTTTAAGTTATAGGGATTCCAGATAACAAGGTTCAACTGTATCTACTTAAGATATATCAGTTTATTCAAATGATACACAAAATAATCACAATATATACATTGCTATGTTTATTGAAATGAAATATAAATTTATGATATACTGTACAAATGTCTATACCTTGAGTGTTGATGCCAAACGAGTAGGTTTGAGATCCTGATCTTTCATAGCCTCCGACATATCTATGACTAGGAATAAATGTCGCATCTGAAAAGAAGGCCAATAAATATATATACATTATTGCAAACAGAAAGTATGAAACTGAATATCCTTGATACTCGGGTGGTTACGATAATTATCACTCACTGCATCCCTTTGCAAAATTGAAGGCACAAGCAAAGTAATTTGATTGGTCTAGAGCGGGTTCCAAGAGCAAAAAATGTGATAAATCACAGACTGATATGCTCCTTTGAAGATTACAAAGGAGTGACACCAAAGTTCAAAGTCATTATGACATACTGCTATGTGACCTAGAGATTTGTTTGATGTACATCAAAGGAGCAAACTAGTCTTGTCCACAAGGAATCACATATGGGATCTTTTAATTTGCAAATATTTGTCTAATCTCTGTGTTTTACAACAGTAAAACTGTTCTGTATTACACATACCATGCCAAGTCTAATGTTGCCAAGTTTTTCCAGCAGGCGCCGTCTTTTCGCCTTGTGTATGATGTCATCCACACTTGACTGAATGGTACCATCATCGTCTTCTTCAATAACTTCCCTGTAGAAATGTAATACAATTTTAATTTCCAAGAGATTAAAAGGATCCTTGAATAACTCTTCCTAAATTTTGATCCAATACAAAAGTTTTCTTTAATTTCAGTCAGGCCAATCACATAATGTTTTATTTTGTTAGCACTCAGCCTTTGAGTCTACGAAGTCTATTGACTGAAGCGAGAGAATTTCAAGTGTCATTGTATTATTCTTCAGTGAACTGGTGCTGTAACAACATCTGACGTAAGTTTGTGATATTTCAACCATTATAATCAATCCAAAGGCTAAAAAGGACTGACTCAGATCTTTTTGTAAAATTAATGGTCCATCACCTCTGAGGTTTACCCGATCAAAATCCCATCCAACACTTTGTGACATGTTTTTAATGTGCAAGAATTATTTGATGATGATCATACAGAATAAACTGAAACTATGTCTGGAATTCACAATAAAAGTTGTAATTGTGATTTTAAATGAGTTTTACTGATCAAACACATGTTTACTGAAGACCAGTAGTAGGTAGGGCTAATAAAATTTCTGGAGGTAAAAAGTAATCTTGAAAATAACTGGTGCTTATGGCTAATTCGAAAGACAAATATGACATTTCAAAATACACTGGATACAGCTGAGTTAAAGCTACAAGATCAAACTGTAAAACATTTCTATGTCTCTGGGAAAATCCTGGAGGGGACCAATGGGCCCTTAGCTCATGAGAACTCAATCTCATGTTATGGTCCTCAAGCCTTTCAAAAAAAGTTGAAAACTGAAGAAGGAGATATTTGAAAATGATTTAAAAATTAAGAAAAAGAAAGAAAGAAAAACAAAAAATAATTTTAAAAAAATAACTCTTCCAAAAATTGTTCATTCACAATCTCATTAAAGAAAACAAATGTAATAGTTAAACAAGAAAATGCCAACATGTTAACATAATCAAGATGCAAACTCAAATTTATCGCAAAACTTGAACAAAAGAAAGGTCTACATGGAGACTACTGAAAAAGTATGAGTGTAGAAATTGAAAGTAAAGGTCACATTACTAGCATCTGCTAGTGGGAAATTCCCTTTAGTCGAGCTGTAGAGTGTCTGGCTAGAGACCGAGGATTGCAAGAGGCATGGTGATTTCACATCTTATCCATGTTACACAAGGAGACCATGTGTTCCGGAAGAGTAAGCACTTTCTGCTTCATTGACGTCACCCGCCAAGTAAGTAATGTCAGGTTCTCAAATTAGAATAGGTATTCAACAATGGAACCAACAGAAAAACAAACGAGCATCAATCACGAAGTTTCTGGGGGAAAATATGATACAAAAGGGTATTAGGTTCTTTTGTCGCTCATCTTGATCTTCAAGCTTTGCAATGGTACTGATGACGATTATCGTCCGCGACCAAGACAAAAACCGCGGAGAGAAAGTCAGAACACTTCGGATTAATGACGGCGATATCGGCATTAACTGTGCATTGACTGCCTGAGCATACCTCAATGGGTAACTCAGTCATGGCTGAGACATTAAATAACAATACGTCTCTGGTCATGGTGATCAATAAATCTGCATTTTTTTTTTAATCTCAAATCTACAGTGCCTCGACTTCTCGTTACACAAAATTAGAAGAAAACAATAACTGTGTATTACCAAGTCTTCTCATATTCTGTTTCCCATCTGTATCCCTTCTCGTCTTCTTCTGCCATCGTTAAATCTCTGCTTTAATTCACCGCTACAACTTCAGCATCCACAACAGCCTTTAAATTCAGAGTACATTAGAGTTATGTCCCTGCATCCTACTTCCGGTAAAATATATTTTGTGTTTTGTGTTGCAAACAAGCTGTAAAGAATTTTTGAATTAATAATAATTGTAATTTTTATTCCTGTGAAATGATTACATTGGTTCAAACGCTTACGCAGTGTTAAAAACATTTTGTGCGAAAATAAACCAATAACACAATTTGTCGACTTTAGATGTGAAGGTCATTTTGCAATTTTCGACAGGAACAGTGACATGCGGTGCCTAGGGTTATGGACCACGATTGAACTCTGAACGGAATATAATGGAGAAGCGAAAAAACATTGCTTTGTGACTGAAGGATTAAGCAAGAACCAAAATGTTGAAGGCGAGATTGGTACTCAGCGGACACTTCGGGTATATAGACACCCACCCTTCCGCCGATTTCAGTTTTTTCTCATGCGTTTCGTCACCTTATATACCATCCCAAATAATTTACCTTGGTTACAGCAGAGATATATACGTCTCTGGTTACGGTTACCACTTAAGTAAATTGATGATGGCTATTTTGCTAAATTCTGACCATTTTGCTCGTTGAACCAAGGCTTGTATGTGTATATTTTCCGTGTATGTTTAAATGAACTTCACATGTTTCTGTTTCAAAAGTACACTAGGCCTGCATTTGAGTAACTATCAGATGCTGTAACTAATCATCAATTGTAGGACTATTACCCATATGTAGAGTTGTTCCCAACCTGTTCAGGTTGCATTATATTGTTGGCATCATCGGTTGGAAAGCAACACAGGATGTGAAAAAAAACCCACTCCATTCAGGAGATATACACTGTTTGTAACACAATATCTTTAAATTTTCAATGTTGAATTATGAAGTCTGTGAAAAGATTTATCTGTAATCCCAAAATGATAGTATATTCTGATATTTAATGTAGCATGCATTGATTTGCTTCAACAGTGTTACATGTATGTCTGCTGACTGCCAATGTATAATGTAGGTATTATTCTCTGTGAACTTAACTTATTGGAGAACCGCACCTGAACTTCTGATAACTCAGTTACACACACTTGTCCACAGAGAAAAAACTGGGTTGTGTGTTTATGACAAAGGATCATATTAAAAACATAAACAATGATGTGTTATGTAGGTATTATCCTCTGTGAACTTAACTTATTGGAGAACCGCACCTGAGCTTCTGATAACTCAATAACACACACTTGTCCACAGAGAAAAAACTGGGTTGTGTGTTTATGATAAAGGATCATATTAAAAACATAAACAATGATGAATATTGATGGCAACTTGTCTATTAAAACATGCATATACAATGTCTTATATCTAACCCTAACCCCATATTGATATGACTACAAATTTTTTTATCATTATTTTCATGCTCTGTCTTTTTCACTATATACACATGTGCTCCGGTAAGTTCATGATCATACATTTAAAAATTTTGTTCTTTTTCTTCTTCTTTTTAGTCCAGTGTGTGAAGTATGCTTGAAAAAAGCCACAGAGAAAGCAGTATATGATGGAAGTGTCAGAAATGCTCAGCGAAGCTTGGCTGTTATACCACGATATTACACGATGGGTCATCACTCACAGCAGCAGCAGCTGGGAATGGAACTACAGCCTAACATTTTGAATATTTCTAGATACCCAATGACTGGGCTAACAATAAGACAGTTACATTCAAGGATTCCTTATTCCGGAAATATCAATTTTCTTATCCCCAGATCTGGGTTAGCTCAGATTGGAGCAGGGGCAAGTACTCGGAGTGCTGGAACTGTAGCACGAGTCATCACCAGTGTGGGTCGGTTCCTCAAGGTCCGATATCTCATGCTAGTTGGTGCTGTAGGAGGAGGGGCTTTGATTAGTCAGGTAAAACAAGATTGGAAACTTTTTGTGAGATATAATTAGTAATTAGAACATTTTGATTAATAGTTATTATTACAGTGGAACCCACTTATTATGATATTTTTATTTTTAAGAGAAAAACTATTATGATATCGAGGAAAGCAATTTTGAGACGTTATGTTCAGACCACAAATGGGATACCCTAAAATCGTTGGACAAACAACTCATTGTCTTTATGATTTTGGCATCTGTGAATTATATATAGTTCTTTTATAAATAAAAAGGAAGCAACATGGAAACTGTTATATATAAGTGTCAGTCAAAACACCATGTTTATTCTGTTGTCAGCACAGTAACAGATTTTAGATATATATCGTAATGGGAATCAATTTCACTGTCATTTCTGTTTTTTTTTCCTCAAAGGTAGCAGTAGATACCTAATGTAGGTGTTTCATGTGAATGAATGAAGTACCTTAGATCAGCTACATCATTTAGTAAAGTAATGTATGTGTTTCACACATTGTTTTGGTATAAGAAGGAACAAAACAAGTTATGAACAATTTGAGATTATAAATCCATGGAATTATGTCTGGAGATGTTACATTGTACAACACCCCTTTTGATAGGCTGTTAGCACAGTTATAGTGGGTCTATTACTGTTTACTGCCCTAACTGATCACTGTTGCCCTCGGTGTTTTGTGTCCGATGTATACACATGTGTGCGGGATGAACTCAAACAGTAATTAGTGTCATACTGGGGACACCTACCTGAGATTTTGGTCAAAAGAATTTTTATCTTGGAAAATATAAATATCGTAAGAGCTGATATCTCCTGTTGGACTATATCATGATTAATGAGAGGTAACCTTTGATTGGTATTATAATCATGCATTATTTACTAAAAAAGTATGTATTTTTTCTCTCTTTGTTTTCTATTATATTCTTTTATTCTTTTTATGTTTTTTGAAGTTCGTGCTAATTTCACTTGTATATTTCAGAAACTTGATTCTTATAAAGAAATGTTTCCTGATGTGGCCTGGACAAAAGATTATTTACCCGATTCGGAAAAAATTGACAAGTTTATGCAGTCTTTAAAAGAAAAAAGAAAATCTCTAGCTCTTCCAGAAAAGGTAAAATTTGTCTTCATATGTGGTATGTGCTTAGAATCAAATTTGATATTTCAAATATATATTAGTTTGTTTTAAAAGGGATACTTATTTGAACTTTATTGAATGAAAGTATCGTTTTCACATATTTTTGTTTTTGTCTCCTCCATTAGGGTTGGATGAAAAACAAAGTTGAAAACTTGAAGAAAAAACAAGAGCAATGGGTTAACAACAGGTCTAAAATGGATCTGTCGTCTGTACTTTCTGAGGGTAAGTATCACATATACTACAGGATGTTTTTACAGAAAAACAATATGTAGATAATCAAAACTATCATCATTTGATTTGATTGTTCCATTGAAAAGTTGACCAAGGAAAATGATGTATTACCAATGTTTGTACATAGAAATCTTTTCTTTTGAACATGTTTTCTTTAAGAATGGGAAAGTTTTCATTATACTTTTTTTCATTTTTGGAAAATAACTCATTGCTTACTAAAGGGTTAACATCCTATTTTGGTCTCTAATGGAATGCAGAGAAATTAATATAGGGTTTAATTCATTATTAATGAAAATAAAATTGATAAAGTTTCTTCAGAGACATTTCTATAGAAGCTTAGTCTCCTGAACAGTTTCTGTTAAAGTTATGATATCAATATCTCAGTATATATGATGGACATAAAAATTCCTTGAACAATTAAATTATGCTAAAAATGTATAAATTTTGTCATCTCATCCTTGTTCATAATAATTCAAAATATCCCTATTTTCAGTCAATTTATTTAAAACATTTTAAAATTTTCATTTTGAGGCTGATAAAAGGATAATATTCATAAAATCATTTCATTACAGAACAGTTGTAAAGAACCGTTTACAATTATATAGCTAAACCCTGTATCTGTATCAGCTTAAGTGTTTCCTTACTTTTGAAATCCAAGGGTTTCATCCTTGATATGTGTATCTCCTCTGAACATTTGAATTTTCACCAATAAGACACCCAAGATTGAAGGAATTCAGTAAAGAAACCACTTGGTTGGTCAATAATATGATTTATTTCCAACATGATTGGCTCCCTACAGTATGATTGCAATTATTGACTCCCAATAAGAAAACCTTATATGTACTTTGAAAAATGAAAAGGCATTTTATAAATAATACAGTAGAACCAAGTTGTCAGTTTTAGGGATGTACTTTCATGTTTTTTTTATTCATAATTCAAAAATAGTTCACAAACTAATCAATAGGTATCCTCCAGAAATGGTTGTGTTAGTGTTAGCCATGGAATGGTGTGTTCAATCATCCATAAGATGATTTGTTTAGTCTTTCATAAGATAGTGTGTTCAGTCATCTGTAAAATAGTATGTTCAGTGCTCCATGAAATAGTGTATTCAGTCATCCATAACATTTTTTATTCAGTCATACATAAATTGATGTATTCAGTCATCCATTACATAGCATACCTTGGTTTATCATGGAATTTCCCAAAATATTATATATATCTATATGTAAAGCTGAGTCTGGGATTGGGAAGATGTCTGCATGCTGTCATTACAAGAACGTTATTGATACTGAACAAATTAACTTGCAGAAAATATGATTGATCAAGGTTGGTTATAAGACTTAAAACACTCATTGGTATTGTAACATTATAAAAGTACTGTGAATTACTTCTATTTCACAAGAAACTCTTAATTATTTCATCCCAAGTTAGAGAAAAAAATTTCTAATTCAGATACATAATTTACATGGATAATACATTGTCAAATATTTCCCTTACTGATTTACACAGATAGTTAACTGCTGCAAAAATCTAGATGTTAATTCTGTCATTAAGTCTGTAAGGACCCACCAATATTGTTTTGCGAAATATTACTGGTATGAAGGAAACCTACATGCTGTATAAAACATTCCAGTCTTTAATCTATATGAACACCACTGATACAGAACAGTGATGTAACCTCTTTACTAATTGTCATACAGAAATTCAGTATTCAAGAGATATAAGTAATCTACAGTATGGTATTATCAACCCTTTTCTGTTTATCTTCTATTTTGAAAAAGAAATGTCGGCTGAATTTTACTTGTTTATGTAATGAATTACTCCGTCTGTTTTTTTGGTTATATGGTACTTAAAGGAATGCATATTGTATCACCCATTGTACTTCTGAACACATTGTGACAGCTTTGCGATGGAACCTTCTTTCCTTGGTCAACAGACACTGCAACATCCAATAAAATGTTGCTTGATATTAAAGTAATTTGGCAGTCCAGAGAGAAATCAGAGGCTTGGTCAAAATCCATAGCCTCCTTAATTGGCAAAGTAGGATAAAACAGATATTTATAAAAAACTATAACTGAAGTTATCAGGATGATCAGAGACCAGGTATAGAAGGTTTCACTGTTTAGGTGTTTAGAATTACATAAAGGAGCTAACTTTCATGTTGTGACTTCTTTCAGTAATATGTTTAGTTATCATGGTTTTTTTCCCTTTTGTTTTTTATTCTTTTTTCTTTGTTTTCTATTTGGCATCTCTATATATTTTTTCGGCCTCATCAGAACATGTTTTGTACATTTATAATAAGTTATCCTACAAAATATGTTTCCTGTTCTTGGTTGTATTGTTTCACTGACAGATGACAATAAGGGCTGCTTCAGGTATTTAGATGTTTCTCATCCCATCTAAACCGTGGCAAGAGTCAAATTCACAGTCAATAAAAAATTATAGAAATCCAAAACAAAGATTTTAAAAGAATTTTTATTACTGAAGTCACACGGAGAGGTGTCAAAAGCAGTATTTTCAATTTCAAATAAAATTTTGAGAAATTATATACTTTCTAATTGACACTTGATGATTGGTACAATGTATAAACAGAAAAATGAATTAAAACGAAGCAATCCTTTTGTTTAGCTTATAGCAGCCTTCATGGTTAGTGAGCCTAGTTGTCTGATGACTGTTTCAGTATAAATCTGTGTGGTTGTGTTCCTCACATTACTGGTATTGTATCTTTACCCATCCATGAGGTGTCATTGTGTCCTTTTGTCCTTTGTCAGGTGTACCACAAATGCAAACAGGTGCTTTCCACCTAATGGGATCGTCAGTGCCAGGTGTGTAGTCTGTATGTGTTTCTGATTGTATTTATCCCACTTTCTGTCTGTGTCTGGTGAAAAACCAACCTATATAAATCTGTAGCTGTTTGGTAAATTACCAAGAAGTGCTGCTTCATCTTTCTGTAATAAGCTTCAACTTGATCATCATGGTGAGTCAGATATTTTGTACCCCCCACCCCAACTCCTACCCTACCCCAATACCAACCCCTCTTACTCTCCCTGGGCTTAATGTAGGATAAATACAGATATTATATACATTAGTCATTATTCCGAAATGATACAAACACAAAACTTAGCAACTGGCAACATTTGGAAATTAACTTACATAGATTTTGAGTGGTCTGTCAAAAGAAAATTTGGGAAGTGGTGGGGGGCAGTTTTTCATTTTGAAAGTTTTGTATATGTCTGGTGCAGTTTTTATTAACAAATATATGATTTGATTTTATATATATATGATAAAAGCACAAATTTAAACTGCCTCTGGTCACCAAAACTCTCAGGCTGTTCTTGTGTTAAAGCCCTGTGTGAGAGATTTAACACCAAAGTTATCAATTAGCCTGTACATGTGTTAAAACCCTTTACATGAGGGAGTCAACGTTAAAGTTATCACTTACTGTGTACCTGTGTTAAAACCCTGTATAAGAGAGTAACTCGGGAACACACTTGGCAGGTAGCGAAACATTAGATGTGGAAGCATCTTTTTGTTGTCATTGGCCTGTGGTACATTCTCATCTGTGTACTCATAATGAAACATGTTGTACATCTGAAAAATCGAAAAGTGATATCCATATATAGATATACATACGAGAAAGTCTACATTGCCATTTATTATGCTTAAAGTAAATATGCATTTTACAGTATAAATCATATTTATGTACATTCCACACCATTATCTGCTAACGATGCACAATCTTCAGCTGATCAACATGACTTTAATGAATTTTAATATACACAAGCTGTCTTATTTCACCAGCACTATATACTGTCAAATCATATATTTTCGTTGGGCTCAAATTTCATGGTTTTGGAAAAATATGCAGTTTTATGGCACTTGATATCATAGATATATCTGATTGAGGAAATTAACTTGTTATAAAATCTGTTTTTATTCTATTTATCATTTCATGAACAAATAAATTTGTGGGTTCAGAGTATCCGCAAATCCAGCAAAATTAAATTACCCACGAAAATTACCAATTTTATGGTATATGCAGTTTTACTAACTATGATAATTTATAATGATAAGCTACCGTGGTAGCTGTTCAATGATTTTAGTCCGATTGGTAATGGAATTGGTCACATGACTGAATTAAGTTATAAATAGTTTTGTAACATTAGTCAATAGTATTGTTTGTAGATGCCTTAGATCTGTTTTCTGATTCCTTTCGTACTGAAGACTACCCTGGGTATACAAAAATACTTGTGATCTTATGGTGAATTGTTTATTCCAGATACATCCACAAAAAAGGGAGTACTGCCTTTAATTGGAATGAGTGATAAAGGTGGTGGTATAGAGGAGAAGAAACAGGTCTGTCATCTATGTGTATATGTGGATCTAAGCTACATGTTTTTAAAAAGGCTGTAAATGTGTTTGCTGCATTTAGTGATCAGGGAACAAACATACTATATATTGCTTTAAAAAATTATCATGGTAACTAAAGATTAAAACTGTTAAACTTTAATTTCTATCTTTCAGTCATTTCGGAATTGAATGATTTCTATTAAAGCATTTTGCTTTTGAATAGACTTTTAAAAAAGATGTAATGATATTATTTGTGTGCTTTATTTTGTAGTCAGGAGTCTGTACTAGATTTATCAGAAGTAATATTTGTACATGTTCTTGTCTATGGTAAAGTTCTAAACAAGGTATATATGGAGCTAATTATCATATGGCCCTAAGGCTCTTCAGGTACCATAACACTTTGTTATAGCTAACAGATGCTACTGTTCTCTTCCAGACTAAGGACCAGCAGAAGAGACTGGAGGAAACTCGAGATGAGATGATACAGATACAGGTATAGTGTAATTATAACCCCCACCCACATCCCCAGCAATAAAGTTAGGAAGGAGTGGGAGGGGAAATATTGCTTGGATTTTTTATGACAGGGCATGTTCTTGTTGTCTCTGATAATGCTGTTTAGTTCCTCCAATTTTTAAAGAAATACTGGCCCTTGACGTGTAATGATAATGTGAAGTACCAATGATGTACCACTTACTCCTCCCAACATGTCTATGGATTTTGACGAAACATGGCAAGCATGTTAAACATGTCACATTCTTGTGTCTCCGTTAACACCATTCAGTTTCGCCAATTCTTACTTGAGTTATGTCATGTGATGACTATTGATAGTATTAAGTGAATTAATATCTTTTCACTGGTACCTATTTTGTCATATTTGTTGACATCAGTTCATCAGTCCTTCGTACCTGAGTTATGTCCCTCAAGCATTCTAATATTTGATATATACTCATGTTTATAGCCCCTACGGTGAAGTCTGTCATCTCCGAATTTGGGGGAGTGGGGTTAAAAGTTATCCCCGAGGTGACAGTGTTCTGGTTAGTTTGCTTGTTATGAGAAAAATAAAAGAATCATATAAGGAAAATGTGTTTAAGGAAATTATTAATTAAAAATGGACATGCTTCATTTGATATGTGTTTAAAAGAATAAATTTTGACATCAGTTAATTTAAGTCTCGATTTTAGTTTCATGATAAATGTGATCTCAATTTCGATTTTTTCAAATTTTTTATTTACAGATTCGTTACCAAAAGGAAATTGATCGGCTAGAGAAGGAAAATAAGGACCTCAAGAGAAATCTACTGCTGAAGGAAAGCAAGGGTGGACGGAAGAGAGTGATGAAAGTAGGTGTTACAGCTATGTATGTATACTGTTCAGGGCTCTTCCTGACCATTGAAACACCCATCCCACCACAGGACAGGTTTACTGAGAGACATCAAATTGAAATTTAATTAATATTATGCTGATAATTAACAGGCAGGAAATTGAACCATGGATAGAAGTGATTCATTTTGTAATCCTTGGCCCAATGGTCAAATAAATGTTGTAATTGAATAGCCCTTTTACTGATTCTTGACAAGGAATTTTTTTTTTTTGATTGGTGAATTTCTCAAGAAGCTACTAGATATATGTTTTATGAATTTTGATATCAAAGGATTTTTTTAATGCATGCAAAAAATGTAAAATAATGAGACAATGTAAAAACTGTAAGATGCCTCTCAACCAACATGTTATAGGTCGTTCAATTTTGTTTAAACATTCCTTTAGGATTTTACAATGTATGAAATGGAAATATTTACATTACAGAAATCCCTTATAGATATGTATTCTGAAGTACTTGATGAACTGGCTGTGTATGACTCCAGCTATAACACACAGGACAACCTGCCCAGGGTATGTTACCATGTAGTGTGACTACAACAGAAAAGGAGATATGCAACTCCTGAAGCCAGGTTTCTTCTTTTGTACAACTGTGCTGATAGCTAACGTGTCTTGGCTTACCAGGCTTCAGGAGTTGTGCTTCTTCTTTTCTGCTTTATATTTAAATGGCTCTATCTAACCAGTGATCTTCCTGAAACCTAAAGTATGAATTCAAACTTAAGACCTGTGGTTCTTGAGAGCATTTTGTCTTCTTGAAGATTTTTCTGTGCTGGCTTCATATGTCCAATCATATGGAAATAAGAAGCTGTGTTTTCATGTGAAGCAACTTTGAGGATGGTCTGAATTTAAAAAAAAAGAAGGAAAATTGAAACCACACCAAGTTAAGTAACAAGAAGAAATTGAATTGCACTTGCTAGTCTATTATTTCTCTAAGTAGCCCCTTGCTAGTTGAACTGGTGGGACTATAGTTTTCCTCTTTGTCTGTCTCTGCATCTGTAAAAGTTTGTCAGTGCTCTAGTGGCTTCATTCCTTTAGGGATGCTCATCAAACTTCACACTCTTATATTACCAGTTTTACTGTGTGATTTTGTAAGCCTTTGAAAAATTATTGACATATGAATGTGCTGTTTACTGATATTAAGATTTAAATAGTGAGACACCTTTCACCTAGACATCCGGGGTTCAATTTCCAGACGTAAAAAGGTATGGGGCACCTGCTCAACCATATGGGTTTTTCCAGGTTACTTTGGTTTCCCATAGTTAGACCCCTTGCACATTTCCATTCGGGCCAACAAGAGTGATAAATATAAGTTGGAAAAAACTTGCAATGCAATTGTTGTAAAATAAATAATTAGTCTTTTATATAACGTAATAGGCTGAGATTGATATGTTTGTGATGGTTGACTCCTGTGTTTTGTAGGTGGTGGTTGTCGGTGACCAGAGCTCTGGTAAGACCAGTGTGTTGGAAATGATTGCCAGAGCCAGGATATTTCCAAGGTACTGTTTTGTAATGTTAATGACTCATTGTGTCAAAAAAGCTGACTCTAAAGACAGCATCCATAATTAGCACTTGATGGCTCTTATTTATACAGATATAAAAAAAGATTTTGGTAGGATTTCCATTTTATACAATTTCCTTTTTTCAATTACAAAAATATCAACTATGTATATGCCTTGTTAACACCAATGCACTGTGTAATAGATATTTTTATACCACTGTCTAACATTCACTATTCTTGCCATAAGATTTATGGATGAATATTGCAATGACGAATTTTAACTGAAAAAGAAGCATTTTTATTTATTGATTTTCATTGGCGAAAGTGAAACATGGCTGAAGTTAGATATTCCATCTTTGATCCCAAATTAGTGCTTGTTTGGGTAAACCTGTTGTGTGATATTAGGGAGATTGATGATTGAATGTATCATTGGTATATTTTGTGGTCTACAGGGGGTCTGGGGAGATGATGACAAGGTCACCGGTGAAGGTCACACTCAGTGAAGGTCCATACCATATAGCACAGTTCAAGGACAGCACCAGAGAGTTTGATCTCACTAAGGAATCTGAGGTATGAATAAAGCTAAAATGAAAACAATAAGAAAATGTACAGATAGAAAATACTATTTTCCTCAAACAATAATCTCCATTTTCAACAATATCTTCATAAAGACCCCTAGCATGCTTCTATCCAGGCCAACGACAGTGATTATTATAAGCTTAAAGCTAGTTTTGCAATTTCTGTGAAATATTAGAAATGTATAACATTTTGGAATACTTAATAATAAGATTTTAGTAAAGATACATGGATGACTTATGTAACTACTCTCACAGCTGGCAGCTCTGAGGAAGGAAGTGGAGCTGAGGATGAAGGCGAGTGTACAAGAGGGACAGACAGTCAGTCCTGAGGTAGGTAACCAAGGGTTGTGCTGGGACATCAATCTACTTTCAAATTTCATAACGAGGCAAGGTAATGTCTGCTATTAATGCTTGGTCAGTTTTCCATATAACACATTTTATTTCATCTTGCATGTTGAACATTTTTTCCATTTAAGAGCAAGACCTAAAAGAACATCATGCTCTTCTCCCTTAACTGAAGGTCACTAGGACAGTATTCCCCAAGCAGACTTAAAATGAAATAAATTATAAGTAGATACTGGCAAAAAAAGAAAACTGCGGAAGAAAACTTGTATGGTAAAAGCTTTGGAGTAAGGATAGGATGTTTATATTAAATGAAAATAACTACAGAAAATGTTACCCACAGTTACGATAGGTATTTCTCTCATGCAGATTGTGTGTAATTTACTGTATTACATCAGAAATGATAATATTCAGGTGAATACTGGTTATTTGATTGATGCTTATACTTATCAGATGTTTATTTCATTTTAGTGTATAGCCATGACAGTGAAGGGACCTGGTCTACCCAGGATGGTACTTGTGGATCTACCTGGTATCATTTCTGTAAGTCATCCTGTTTGCTTTTGACAAAAAGGAACACTGTTGACATATCTGAAGAGATCCATCTGAGAACATCTGTCAACACCACAACCTATTTTTCAGCTGAAATCTTCATCTAATTAATACATATATTATGTTAAGATTCTTTACATGAAACACTCTTAATAATATTTACCAAATTTGAAAATTTTAGAGGTGTAGAATAGATATTTTTGCAAAAGCTGTATGTGATAGAAGCAAAAAAGGTAAAACATACTATTTACATGTATATAGTACTGAAGAAACATTTAAAATTATCAGCATGTATTGTTACTTTTTAAGAATGTGTTTTGGCTTGCAGACTGTGACAACTCAGATGGCACCCGATACAAAAGATTCTATCAAACATCTAGTCAGAAGTTACATGGAAAACCCAAACTCAATTGTCCTCTGTATCCAAGGTATGTCCACAGACATAGACAATTTATCAGCATTGTACTGTTTCTGTTTGCCACTCTCATATGTTACTTCTAGGTAATTACTTGCATATGAAGTTCTGTGCTGAATATCTATCAACTGAAAGGCATTTTTACGCTCCCCACCACCAGCCATTTTATGTGGGGCAGGGACATATATAGTGTACCCACATCCATTGTTTCTGCCTGTTCTTGTTGCATCCCAGTATGTTGCAATCCATCCCGAATCATACTGTTATATCTTCAGAATCTGAAAACAGATTTGGTTCATATCTACCCTAAGTATCATACCATTAAGTGCTAAGAGTAGTGTGCAGTGGCAATTAATTTTTTCCATGATTTTTCCTTGGAGTTATGCCCCTTTTATGTTACTCTTGCATCAAGTTTAACTTTCATCTCTTATTTATTATTAATGATTTAGAAATTCCTTCTATCTGTAGATGGCTCTTTAGATGCTGAGAGAAGTAATGTGACTGACCTGGTCAGTCAGATGGACCCTAGTGGCCGGAGAACCATATTTGTACTGACCAAAGTTGATTTAGCAGAAAGTAACCTGTACAACCCTGATCGTGTGAGTAGCTGGAAATTTTGATAGAATTCCTTCAGATTCTAGAAGTCATATACATTTTACAAATGTCACACAATTGCTATGAATGGAAACACGCAGTTCTGTTAAAATATTTCTCTTTCAGCCTTATAATCTTAAATGGTATTTACAACTTTAATACTGATGTGTCAACATCATTAATTTTTTACAGACCTTAGAAGGAATGTATTTTTTTTTGGTTTCAGATCAAATCCATTTTAGAAGGCCGACTATTTCCAATGAAAGCCTTAGGGTACTTTGCTGTGGTTACTGGAAGAGGTAGATACCTTAAGATAATTTGATAAAATAATTTTCATACATTTGGTATATTGTTTTATCATATCTTACTTCACTTTTAATGTTGACCTAGTGTTGAATTTCAACCTTCACGGTAGAAATCCATGTTTACCTGGGGTCACATTCCACATAAGAATTACCACTACGAAGAGACTGCATTTTCTCTCATGATAAATTTAGTCTCATTTTAGATGGAAAAATAGAAGGACAATTATCTGTGGTAAATTTTTATTCTACTGCTATTTACAGGCAACCAAAATGACAGTATACAGACAATCAAAGACTACGAGGAAAACTTTTTTAGGAACTCCAGGTTATTCAAGTAAGTCTGTAAAACACTATTATAAAATGTGGATCCTTTATAGATGGTCTCTAACTGTGTAGATTTATCTGTCAGTTCTCTATGATGAAGACAGATTTCTAAAAACAAAAGCTATGCATATAATCCTCAGGTAGATTGAACTTCCATTTGTTGATTACATTTTATTGAGCTTTTTCTTGGGGTCAAATGTAGGTACATGTGTACCCCTGGGTACTCATTTTAGAAAAAAATTAGGGAACGGGCAGTTTTCTGCTTTGGCAGAAAAAAAAGTGTATATAGAATCCAGTGTAAGACTTTAAGAGACATGTTTCAGCCTTGTCTACTATGGTCATTGTACACCACTGTCTTTATACCACACCATTTACCACCTCACTGAATAATTGTCCATCGTTTGTCACACTACTTCCACTGTTTTTGCCAATTTTGCTGGTTAAATAGTGGAAGTGTATGGTGTAGTGTATCACATGATAATAATCTAAAGGTTGTAACCGATTGGTTGTCTTTCACGATTGCATCTGACAGCATTAATCTTATATGTAAAAGTATGAAATAATGAAAGAAATAAAAAAGACATTTTGCAGGGTTTTCCATAAGAGCCGGTCGCCGGCCAATTTGACCAGTTACTTTGATCATTTGGCCGCCTACACCAATCCAGTTCCGTAATAATGTTCCGTACACGACTACACGTACACGGCAAGCCACCCCTACCTCGCCGCGCTGTGGCTCGGGTCGGCTGGCTTTGCCAGCCTCCCACTTTCACTACACAGTCTTCTACTAACATAATTATGGAAAACCCTGATTATGGAAGAAAAGCATGATGTGGTATGATTCTGATATCATTGTATTGTTTGAGGGATGCTTGTTCTGTCACTGATAATGACGTAGAAGGAATGTCATGAAACTTAAGGTGTTGTGTGATCCTTGAGAATTTCTGTTATATTTTAACAGGGAGGGTGTGTTAAAACCAACACAGATGAATACTCAGAACATGAGTATGGCTGTGTCAGAACTCTTCTGGAAAATGGTGAAGGAATCTGTGGAGCAACAGGCTGATGCCTTCAAAGGTTAGTATGGTGAAGGTTCAAAGTTTGGGTCCTAGTGCAAAGGTCAATCAGGTCATGGTTCAAAGGTGAACTTATCCCATGCTGTAGTGCCATGATAATTGATCACACTTTATTTTGGTTTTTCTATTCATTTACCTTGAATAACAGTATCACTTAGAGTGAGCAATAATGAATGTTTCTAGTACTTTTATCATTATAATAAAAGTTTTCTTACTTTTATTACAAAAATGACATAATAATATTGATCAACTTTAACATTAATCAGTTGTTTGTTGATCTTCGACATAAATCAGTTGTTGATTTAACTAAGATTAAATGAGTTGTCAGCAGAGATTTGAATGTCAGTGAAAACACGTTGAATAAAACCTCATGTCTTGATAAATATTTGTTTATTGTTTAAAACCTGTGTTTGACATATTTCAGCTACAAGATTTAATCTTGAAACAGAATGGAAAAATACATTCCCACGCATTAGGGAGCTTGACAGAGTAAGTTTATAAATTAGATGGTATTACACTGGAATTTAATTAACATTCAATTATCATCTTCATGTTTCTAAATTAAATCTGCATTTTACAATAGTTTTGTTGAGTAAATTTGTCTGTAAATCTGTGGTTTCTGTTGTGGCCTACAGGATGAACTGTTTGATAAAGCACGAGGTGAGATCCTGGACGAAATCATCAATCTCAGTCAGGTCACACCCAAGGAATGGTAAGTGGTTTCACATCAACTTACATTGTGTCATGATTTCATATTAATTTACTTCTCTGATATCTGCAGTTTAAGATCATGGATTATATATACTGAAATACACATCATTTTCAAGAGCTTCTATTTTTCAGTTTTTTTTTTGTTTTTTTTTTTTTGGTGAACAATAGAAAATCTAAAAACAAAATTTATTGAGATCAATGGGCGCTTCTTGTCTCCTTCAGTAAATAAAACCATTTTTGCATCAATCCTTTGGTAAAGGTAAACCTGTGAAAAATTCAAACCATCAGATTTTTTTTTTAATCTGTTAAGAAAACCAAAGTTAAAAAGGAAAATCTGTCATGTCAGTTGATATATATTTATTACAAGTGAATAGTTTTAGAAATGAAAACAAATTTAATGAATGAGATGCAAGTCAATATTAATGTAGTAAGTCAACAGTCTTTATTATTGTATTTATAGATGTGTAAATAGTAATGGGTATGAATGAAATATTAATGTTTTCACTGTGTTTTTACTTACAGGGAGGATGCATTCGCTCAACGTCTGTGGGAAAAGGCATCAACACACTTCTTTGAGAATATCTACCTTCCTGCTGCACAGTCACAAAACTCTGGGTATGTGTTCAACCTATCACGGAAAAACAGCCACAAAATATCTTACAGAAATTTTAATTCCAAACTCCATCGATAAGTCTGATCAGTCTGGATATAATTGATTAAAAATTATTAAACCTGCTTGAATTATACAAAACCATGCTTGTGAAAGTAAGCTTGAATTTAAACGATCAAAGTCATTGTTGGCCAATATTATGGTGAAATGTTTTAAAATGTATTGGTAAGGAGTGGAGAACTATTAGTTAAGACAATTTGCCTGTTTGAAATGTTGATATAGATATTGCTACAATGTGTGACATACTCATTGATACAGGTTTAAATGTTATTGGGGTGTTGATTTGTGTTAAGCAATCAGGTATTTGTAGTACATAATAAGGTATATCTACTTCCATTGTAATATCTTTGTTATAATGTAGAAAGTTTTCATTTACAGGACTTTCAATACAACTGTAGACATTCGACTTAAACAATGGGCGGACTCCGTACTGCCACGTAAATGTGTAGAGGTAAGTGATTAACAGTCGGTATTAATCATCTTACATTGATCTCTAAAAATTTCAGCGATAGTTCAGTCAGTGAAAGTGTCTTTAGACTACATTACTTATGATGTAACTTGTGATGTTATGTGACATGCTTTGATCCCTACCAGTAGCGGTTTGTGTTTCTCAGGAAGTAGAGAAGCAAACTGTTGTGTGCAGACATAGTTGTGTCCTTTAGGAATAAACTTTATCCAAATTGCTGAGCAGGCCTCCCCTATGTTCTTCAGTGAGGTAGCCACTAAACTACACAAGGGAATCCCTGTATTAAACCCAGCAAATGATCTCTACAAAACATAGAAGAAATTGACAGTCAAATTTGACAAATCATGCTCTGGGGCATTGATTCTCCTTGATCAACTAATTTCACAATTACCATCTATCTTTTTTTTGCCCCAGGGAGATTCTAATTTACTTTGTGTTTTTCGTTTTTTTGTTGTTTTTTTTTCGCCCAAGTTCTGGAGGTGCTAACTATGTTATTGCATTACAGGTAGGTTGGGACACATTACATGACGAGTTCCTGAAGTTTGTGGAGCGGGATAAGAAAAGTAAGTCCCATGAAGAGCTGTTTGACAAGCTGAAGCAGACAGTGATAGAGACAAGCAAGTCCAAACACATGTGGGACAGCAAGGCAGAGGATAGTCTGGTAAGATATTGTAGGGCAATAAGGCACAGGATAGTCTGGTAAGGCATTGTGGGATAGCAAGGTAGAGGATAGTCTGGTAAGACATTGTAGGACAGCAAGGCACAGGATAGTCTGGTAAGGCATTGTGGGATAGCAAGGTAGAGGATAGTCTGGTAAGGCATTGTGGGATAGCAAGGTAGAGGATAGTCTGGTAAGGCATTGTGGGATAGCAAGGTAGAGGAGTCTGGGAAACCATTGTGGGGCAGCAAGCAATATGGTGGTGTTGACTACATTTTCTGTATATCAATTGTTTTATATAACAAATTGATCATTGTGTTATTTCGCCAAAATGTGATATTACACTCAGATTTGATTGTGCTTAAATAAGATGTCACCATGGTTACAGTAGTCTGGTAAGACATGTAATCCCCAGATATAGTGCTCCAGATCACTGATCGGTAGAAATTAAATTGACAGACACAGTCCTATTAAACAGTTAACAGGTGTCATACAGAGGGCATTGATACACCCAATTTTTAATATATATTCATTGCATCAGTGATCTTGTCCCAGTGTGTGCTTATTTTGATGTTGTATTTTAACAGCGTGTGATCCAGGTAAACACTTTAGAGGATAGGTCTGTGTCAGACAAACAGCAGTGGGACAATGCTATACGCTTCATGGAGGAATCCATACGTTCTCGCCTGGACCAAAGTGAGTGATACAACCACCACACACACTTTGATGCATTTAACATAATTATCTGTAAACTATTTTCTGTTTTATTAAATCTGTATTGATGTTAGAACTCATTTTCTACTGATTGTACCAGTAATAGTTACAAGTTACACAACTGATGACCACATGGGTAATTATTTGTAGCTGAGGCTAAACTCAAAGAGATGACTGGTCCAGGCAAGCGGGAACAATGGCTCCATTGGAAACACCGAACTGCAGATCATAAAAACCGAGTAGCAACTAAGGAGGAACTACAGAAAATTCTCATCTCTGACAAGGTAGTCTTTTTATATAGGTCAAACCAAACAGGGAAGGCTGTTTATGTAGGTCAAACCAGACAGGGAAGGCTGTTTATATAGGTCAAACCAGACAGGAAAGGTTGTTTATATAGGTCAAATCAGACAGGGAAGACTGTTTATATAGGTCAAATCAGACAGGGAAGGCTGTTTATATAGGTCAAACCAGACAGGAAAGGTTGTTTATATAGGTCAAATCAGACAGGGAAGGCTGTTTATATAGGTCAAACCAGACAGTGAAGGCTGTTTATATAGGTCAAACCAGACAGGGAAGGTTATTTATATAGGTCAAACCAGACACAGAAGGCTGTTTATATAGGTTATATCAGGCAGGGTAGGCTGTTTATGTAGGTCACTTCTGACATGGTAGGCTGTTTATGTAAGTCAATTCTGAAAGTGTAGGCTATTTATTAATGGTATACAGTGGAATTTTTACCCTCTGTCTAAAAGATCATGTTTTCAGTCAATCTGAACTTGCTGTTAATATATACATATAACACTTTCAGAGTAAAGAGTAGTGAAACTTTTCCTGCATTGTTGAATTTGGTGAAATGTGTTTTACAAACAATCTTTCTGACTTCTTACTTAATATGAAAAGATAGACTGCATTCAATCAGCTAGGAAAGTATTGGTTTTCAAATGGAGACAACATGAAAGGACAGTAGATAAAATTCAGGCTATTTGAAGTAAAGGACATTTCATGTGAACAGTTTATTTAATACTTCAAAATTAAATCAAGAAAGATTTTTAGGTCATCAGAAGTAAACAATTAATAGTAGGATTGAGCTCAAACTTGCATGAAATAACCCTGATATGGTTCTGACCAAGTGTTGTTATATTTCGGGTCTGTCTGAAATCCAAGATGGCCGCCATATTTTAAACTTTTAAACATTGATTTAAAGTAGAAAAAAATTAGCCTTCTCCTTGCTGAAAGTTTTTTTAGTCAGATGACCATTTAGGCCCGTGGGCTTCTTGTTAAATTTAAAATGAGTTGATTAGGGGAAGACGATTTCTGACTTTTGTATTGGCATTTTTTTTAGATCATCAGGCCTGTTAACACAACAATGAATCAATTTAGACTCTTTCAGAGTGAGTGCATGCATTTAAATAGCACTGTTAATAGGATAGTGCATCAGGAATAATGTGATAAGAAGACAGACGTCTGATGTATTTTCGTTTAATTTCAGACTCATAAATCTGTAATAGCCCCAGATGAGCTGACGACTGTGAGGAGAAATCTTCAGACACAAGGTGTTGATGTGGACAATGAATTTGTAAGTAACATTTTTTACTAATCTAGGTTATATTGTCCTTGATACTCAAGGTGTTACAATTACTTTTGCTCTCGGCACCCCCTGGAAGGTTCCTGAATGTGTGACACCTGGTGGAGAAGATGAAAAAATTTATCCTTTGATAAACATGATGTTGCTCCTTTGTAATCTTCAAAAGGAGCCTGTGATTGGTCAGTGTTTTTCTACTGGAAGCAATCAAATTACTTTGCTTGTGCAGTCAATATTGCTATGACATGTTCCAGGGGCACAGAAAGCAAAAGTGATCGTAACCATCAGGGTATTGAGAATACTATTATATAGAATTAATAAATGGAATCAATTATCCAACAACTTGGAGATGTGTATGCAATATTTGTTGGATGCAATTCGGTAAAGAAGCTTGGGGCTGATAATTCTTAGTGATTAATTTCTATATCTGACATTACAGCCTTTTAATCCATTACTCGTCCTACACAGGACATTATAATAGTAACAGAGGTTTTTTATCAGACACAAGAACATTGTTGACATTACAGATGTGATGTTTATGTTAACAGATCAAGGAGACTTGGTACCATGTATATAGAGAATCTTTTATGAGGAAGGCTCTATCCCAGGCCCAGGACTGTCGTAAAGGATTCTACCACTACCAGAAGGGATTCCAAGATTCAGGGGTAACATTTCTTCTACATATACAATATGTATTGTCATACAGGCAATACCAGTGTTACATATATTTTATCATACTATCTGAAGAGAGAGCATATAGTCGCCGCTTTGTCCATCCATACATCATAATTTTGTTCGGAGCGTAACACAAAAACTATAAGAGATATCAACATAAAACTTCATAGGTAGATAGATCTCAACAAGGAAATGTGCAGTGCACAAGAAACATCACTCTATTTTGTATAATGTAGGAATTATTGCCCGTTGTTATTTACAATACTTAGATTTTAAAACTATAAGAGGTATCAACATGAAACTTCCTAAGTAGATAGATCTCAATGAGTAGGAGGGCAGTGCACAAGAATCATAACTCTCCTTATTGCCCTTTTTTGTTTTATTTTTCATGCATCTTGTTCCGAAACATTGTCATATCTTGAGAACCTCTAAACAGATTTCATTCTTATTTTTTGACCCCATAGTATCCTAACATCAAGTTCTACACCTGATTGTATTAAGGTGAACAAAGGTCAAAGTTTGAGAGTCAAAGGTCATGCCACATCATACGTCAGCTTCTTACTAATTTTAATTGTAATAAATGAGGAGTCCTGTTACTGACTTTGACTTGGAAAAACAGGATTCCTGAATACAGTATACATCTAGAATATAAAAACATAAATTGTTTGGTTACAGTTGGAATGCCATGATGTAGTGTTATTCTGGAGACTACAGAGGATGTTACAGGTTACTAGTAATGCTCTACGCCAACAGGTCATGAACAATGAAGGTAATTCATATAATCATTTCAGTCACTAGTGAATATTGTGATATTTGTCCTACAATAAGCTCGATAATCAGCCCATCTATTTATATGGATGTTACTTATATATTTCTCCTCCTCCCCCTACCTGTTAGGGGTTACGATAGCACATTCGGTCAGAGTATTGGCCTTTGTTCAACACAATGTACTCACTATCCTTGGCAGTTTGTGTTTTTTCAAGAAACTGAAAAACAGACCAGTCTGTGCTGAAGTGGTTGTGACTTTGGGTAACACTCGCTTTAATTATAATTATGTTGTACAGTGAGGTAGCCACCAGCTACTTCAAGGGGACTCTGACCCCAACTAACAGAAACAAATCCCCCTACTTTGAGTGATTCAGAGATGATGTGTTGATGTCCTGAGCTTGGTGTAGGATCAATACAATAAAGTGTTTCTTATCAGTATTCTCCAGTTTATTGAAAATTTGATTTTCATGCTGATATTTCGAATATTGTTCAAAAGACAATTGTTACTTTTTATAAAAATAATTTTTTTTAAATAAAGTTTAGAGAATTTTGTTGTACTGAATGAAAACTCACATTCAAGATGTTTCTACACAGTACATACATTGTAAATTGTTCAAAGTCACACACCATGTATGTGTTACATACATAATGAATTGTCTAGTGTTGTCCCACCGTCCCCTCTTTAAGTATTATATTCTTGATATGTTGCATTTACAATTACTTCTGTGTTGTTGACAGCACGACGACTAGAAAGGATCATTAAAGACGTCCTCGACGACTTTGTAGACAACAAGGAAGTACTGAGCAAGTTGTTGACAGGTCGACGGGTCCAGCTGGCTGAGGAGCTAAGTAAGTTTAGAGCAGGAAATGATGTGTTTTTCGTTATATAATGCATCAAAAATTCATTCTTAATTGTTATTACAAAATATTATGGAGATTTCATTTCAACAAAGGTTAATTTCTTCATGTGGTGTCTTACTGTATTATCTAATTTTAGCCATATCATAATTCCAATTTCGAAGAACAAGGAGAAATATAACAATGTAACTTTTCCTCAATTAAAATTTGCCAGTTCAAACTTAAATGAGATATAGTTGAGAAATCTGTTTTGAAAAGTTATCCGGATTAAAAAGGATTTGGTTTTCAGTGGGTGTAAGGACAGAAATCTCTTCTTTCTTGTTTCATATTATGTTGTATTCTGTAGAGAGACTTCAGATTTAGTCATGAATTCTTTAGTGTGAAGATGAAATAGAAACAATATGTTTGAGACAGGAATCCTACATGAATAAATAGTTTTGATATTTTTGTCTGTCAACTAGTTGTCATCTCATCTTTACAGAAAGGAATTAAGATTGAATAAAAAATGTTTTTAAAAAATATACATGTACTTCAAATTTTAACAATATTTTGTTTTTGTTACAGAAAAAGTTCGACAGATTCAAGAAAAATTAGAAGAATTTATTAATGCTCTCAACAAGGAGAAATGATGAATCAGGATGCTTTGTTTAGCATATGTATGATGTATCTCAGCTATAAGTGTTGTGAACTCATCAGACTGTGTGCATGGTATAATTTGGTGCAGGTCCAGGACGCAAGCTTAACATGGATTTTGTGAAAGTTTCTTATTATCTTAAATAACAACACTCGACAGATTCCAGTTATTTGTGGCTTATGTGAATGTTTATGTAAGAAATGGTGGTCGTCTATAGGAGCTGTTGGCAATAAGTTTATTTACTGATCGTCAACAATCTGATGTATTTTCAACAACAACCAATAGGTGTAGTGTATTGGAGTGTTTAAGTAGTGGCATAATATTCTTGTCATTTTAATCCAAATATTGCAACAAATTACTGGTTAAACGACTGTTTACAATATACAAATCAAAATTCTTTATACTGGGATTTCTTCTTTATTCATAAATAATCTAGTTAAACAATTATAACCAAGTTATTAATTAATTTATCAAATCCGTACCCAATACATTGAAGTGCTTCTTTTCCATTACAAAATATATCAAGATGCAGTTAAAGAATCTGTCTTCCCTTCCCAGCAAGTCAATATATAAAAAGACAGACTTCGTTTCTCTATACAAAATTGATGTAGAGATATTCACTGTTATAGTAATTTCATGGTTATTCTTTGTTTAAATTTGCTTTATGTATCATCAAGTGTAAACAAAGGGAGGTAAATCTTCCGTTATTTGAATTTTATCTTGAGAATGGTTTAACTGCTATGTCTGGGAATACACTTAATCATTCTTTTTGTCCATGGAGTTGACATAAGTCATTTTAGTTGCAGAATTTTAACTCTTTGTTGGTTATATATTTTGTTATTCCATTTTAATTTATACCATATAAGAAATAATATAATTTTCATTTATTACTATGGTTACTAAATCTATTGATATATTTTCCATTCAACAATCCAAATACAGAAATGAAATTATCAGTATGGATGGTGTATTTCATGTTGAATAAATCTGAACATATGAAGTCAATTATAAAATGCGTCAAAATATTCTTTGTTTGATAATCATACATTGAATTTGGTTTTTGTAGTTTTTACAAGAATACTTAACCTCATATGCATTTTCTTACATAATTACAAAACTGTATGATATACCATGGAATTGTTTGGTGTTTCAATATTGGTAAATCATCTTGCTTGTTTGCTGTTTGTCCTTTATTGGCAATCGTTTTTAGTGAAACGTTTGGATTCAGTGACCAACATGGTCTATCGGCTTCAGTGATAAGAAATTGAAGATAATTTTGTCACAACTTGTTCAATTCTCTTGGGTGTTTGTGAATTTCACGTACTTTATAGCTTACAATTGAAGTTTAGAATATAATATTGGAATACATGTACCTTGTATTAAATCAGTTCATTATTTACATGGAATATGAAATTCAACTGAATCAGTGTCTGAATGTCTGTGATTGTGAGAAGTATGAAATTGAAACTGGTATTATACTATGTGTGATGGTAGAATCTACACTCTCAACAACTTTTCTTAATGTGATGTATTTCAGTGACTATCTGATGTAAAACTACGATAAAATATCATTTGATAAATCGGAAAAAGTTATATTGCATTAGTTTTTTGTTTTTGACGGGATGACGAGTTTTGTAGGCATACACAGCATAGCTTCTGGTTGAACTTCCTTCAACCATCTCATGCCTTCGGGCGACACAGTTAATTCTCTGTTGACAATTTAAAATACACTGCTATCATGATGCTTTCTATATAAAGGCTTTTTCAGTATATCATCTACCCGACATCAAGAGTTAAAATTATATAGCTTCTATATGTGGTATGGTTTCCTGTCTATTTACCAGAAAATTCTATGGGTGGGACCTCTAAACAAAAGCTGGAGCCCTGATTGCCTACTGCTATAATCGGCAAGTTTAAGTTGTTTCTTGGTGTGTTGCAAGTGATCTGTTACCCTAATATAAAATTAAAGCTCCTTTAAAGTTAAAATATCTTTACACACAGTGCTTTGTTATCTGTGTCTGGAAATAAGCCCACCGATGTCCATTACTGGTCAGTGAAAAAAAAAATAATGATTTTTATGAAACAACAAGTCAAACAAAGTTTTATCTTTTATGACATTTTAATCATTGCATTCATCCAGTGTACAATTTCCCAATATAAGCCAATTACAAACTATGTAGGAGGGAATTTTATATTCTTAACCAGAAAGGAAAAAGAAAATTGTAGTTTATATCCAACTTAATTTTTCCCTTCATCCCACAACTTTATATACATACAAACATTTATTATTCAATAAAGATGGAAAATTTCTGCAGAAATGATATAAAAAGAGAAAAATCACTGTTAGTAGTGCTTTAACCACTACCTTCTCTATGGATATGTTGAACAAGTTTTCAGAAAACTGATATAAAGGTTAAGGTTTTGCAAAATGTATATATATATTATACTATCAGTACTTATCAATTACTGCTGGTATGCAGTGATCCAAAAGTTCATAAATCTAAAGTTGGATATTGTGAAACAGTCTAATCCGACTCCTTCAGGATGTACTATGGTGACACCAGTCTGATTGTACCCCTTCAGGATGTACTACGGTGACACAAGTCTAATCAAACCCCTTCAGGATGTACTACGGTGACATAAGTCTAATTGAACCCCTTCAGGATGTACTACGGTGACAAAAGTCTGATTGTACCCCTTCAGGATGTACTATTGTGACACAAGTCTGATTGCAACCCTTTGCGGTGAACTATGGTGACGAAAGTCTAATTAAACCCCTTGGGGGTGTACTATGGTGACACAAGTCTATTTAAACCCCTTTCGGATGTACTTTGGTGACACAAGTCTGATTGTACCCCTTAAGGATTTACAACGGTGACACAAGTTTGACTGTACCCCTTCGGTATGTGCTATGGTGACAGGTCTAATCGAACCCCTTTGCGATGTACTTTGGTGACACAAGTTTGACTGTACCCCTTCTGTGTGTGCTATGGTGACAAGTCTAATCGAACCCCTTTGGGATGTACTTTGGTGACACAAGTTTGATTGTAGCCCTTCGGGATGTACTATGGTGACACAAGTCTGTGAGTAGATTGGCGTATGTGGTTTGTATTTAACTGTTTTAAAGAAATGGGGTTCCCCTTCCAGCAGGATACTATATTGATCTGCAGTGGCTGGAATACACAGGGATCAGACTTTGCAAATCAACACTTCTTCTTAAGCTTCAAACAATGTATATGATTGTGAAAAACATGTATTAAATGTACACAAGACATACGGCTATCTACAATGAGGACTTCCAAAGTTGTGAGAAGACAACAGAGACAATAAGGATCGTTCTATCTATAAAATTCAGCATTAGTCTATTCCCTACTCCTCTAATTTTATAAATTTCAAGTGATCCCGTCAAAATTGAAAAAATCAAAATACAAAGTAAATATTTCCCCATATCTATTGTCTATACAAGTCGAGTCATAAGATTGCATGTAAGTATGTTATAGAAAAAATCTATTTATAGCCTACTATATCAACTAGTACTGGCATCAACTTCAAACTTTTAACCATGAGCACTATTGAAAATAAAGATCTGTATTTCATATGTATGTTAAAGTCTAACCTAGCTACTGTTGGTCTCAACAGAGTAAAATGTAAAATAAAACCTGAACAGATGACATGCCACATCACAGAGCATGACAGAGCATGTAGCTTAAAAGACGATAATGTGGACAATTTTAAAACAGACCTGGACTTGACCGCATTGAATCGGATCTGGGCTAAATGCATTATCAATGAATTTGAAAAAAGAGATCATTGCTTTGCCTTTTTTTAGTGACCTGGTAGGTAGATTAATTATTTATAGAATTATGAATGTTAAAATTCAAAAGAACTTGGCAACTGAATACTACATGTGCATTTAAAAAATTTCTTAAGAATAACAGAATATACATTGTACAGTACTACGAGTTCCAATTCAGTATACAACTAAGGATCTTATTAATGTTTCAGAAAAAAACGAACAATATATATATACATCAATTTCTTATTTCTGAAACTTGATACTTAAAGAGCATTCCTTTTCAAGGATGAGATTCTTTACAATGAATAACTGTATGAAGTATGAACATAAAATCCATACATGTAATGAAATTGGAGTCATGAAAAAAAGAAATGTTCTCCATACAATGCCAAATTAAATGCACAGAAAAAATAATATATCCATTTACCTTTAGTGAAGGCAATTTTTGTTTTACATACACAAACATTTTCCAAAGATGTTTGTATAGTAATATGTCAATTAATATTGTTCTTGGTACATTACTATTGTATATAATACATTTTCCGTCCAACATTCAGACCATAACTGTGTCTTTACTTTGTATCTCTTTCACTATCTTAAAATTACCAGTATATGAAAATATATAAAACAGCCTTATTTTGACTACAGAAGACACAATATTATGCAAGGAACTTTTTTCTTGGACAGAATAAAAAAAAAGAGAGATTAAAAAAAAAACAAAAACAAAAACGTAATGCGATCAGATAAAAAAAAATCAACATTTAAATTCAGCTGTTTAAAGTGTAATGGAAACATTTATCAAACTTACATTGTAATATTTGTTAAAAATCTAAAACAAAAACTAGCAAAGTTTCCGAATTAAATTTTCATGGTTTTGTGCCAGTATTTTGGACATGTTTTAATAAATGCCATATTGAGCTGTCTCGTTAATCATGTAGCAGGCAAATTATACAGTAATATTACATTGTACAAAACGTAACCTATCAAATGTTACATAATACAACATGGAATTGCAGACATGTTAAAAAGAACAGTCAGTTATTCATCATTCACTAATGCTTGCTCAACAGTTTCAGCTAAAAAGACTCTGAATATTTAAAATCTATTATCAACTAAGGAAAAATCTTGTTTCCTTGATCTTTGAGGACATAAATATCCTGTTTAACACTGCTTCACTATATACAGAAATAAGCAGATACAGTTTACAATTAGACTTACAGGCCAGTGCTATCTCACTGTCCTGCAATCAGCCCATCCACTTTCACAACTTGTATGTCAGTTCCATGAACTTATCGCAGAACAAGATGGAACCATTTTATCAATCCCCAGTTTCATCAACATTCATAGACTCACATTTGTCCTTGGGAAAATATAAATATCGGAAGTAATATGTAGATGACTTAATTAAGGACATCTTTGAATTTTACAGATATTTTATTGACTTTAGGAATTAATAATGTGTCAAGGATCATTGATGCTTGAAATTAGAGCTAGTATCTGTTAGACTTATATCCCACTGTGTCAGTTTATATTGATCACTTTACCCAGAAACTCCAGTTAATAAGATATCTTAATATAACATATACATTGTATAAAAGCACATTGTTTTTGTGACCTTAATTTCCCTCTTAAAATTCTATTTAATTTTTTTCCCCCTTTCTGTCATAACAATATTTCAACTCCTTTGTCAACAAGTCAGTTTTAAGTTGTTACAGTTCAGTTTATTGTTGCTTTATGTCCCATTAACAGCCAGGATCATTTAAGACATGCCAGGTTTGGGTTCAGGTGGTGAAATGCTAGCCTTCCCGGAGAAAACGACTAGACCACAACTGCCCCTTTAATTTTTATAACATCAGATACGAACAATGATTTGTTTTATACAAACCCTACAAGAAAATCTACATATACATGTATTTTATGCTGAAACAAAAACTTCTGGTATGAAGACACTACATCTACTTCTAACCTACAGACACATAATAACCAGACATATATATTTATCCTATATAAAACAAAACCCTTAATTAAGCTTTTAACAACATGACCGTACTATAACTACTGACTGACAATTCTACATTGAAGCCTGAATTTACATATGTCACCATATAACGGTGAAATCATTTGATATTCACACATAATATCAGACCAGATCTTAGCAACCTTGTCACAATAGAAAACAATAACAAACAAACAAAAGTTTACCATATATTGATAAAAACATAAACAGCAGTACACATATATAGTGGAGAGCTAAACTTTATAAAGCACTTAGTATAATCAACAGACAGCCAAGAACTGTGAAGGCTATACCTGTCAACCCTTCCTGTATCTGAGAGTCTTAAAGGTTAGTTTGCATTTCTTAAAACCATGCACCTATACCGCAGTCAGTTCAGTAAACTGCCAAAGAATAGTTAAAATATTTCACCATTATTTTATTATAATCATTTATTGATTTTGAAGGCAATTTTAATTTCCATCATACGTTTTTCCTCCCAAATTTAGAAAGTTGACAGGTACTCCCTGGGTGTGTTTGCAAAGATCTTGGCTGTCCATCTCTACATTTTTATTGCAGTGATATAACACTAGACAACACACACACATAAGTATAGGGTGCTTCTTGTTGTACATGTGTATCAGCAGTGTAACATATTCACTCAACATATCAAATATATCAAAAAGGCACAAAATAATATCTGGTGTATGTAGTGTTAAATAGTTTGCATTACATTTTGATCATACAGCCATTGTGCATGTTGTCTCGGCTTTTGTTCCCAATGTCACAAATATTTGCTGAAAA